TACCGTAGTGTGGCTATTTACTTGTACACGCAGTGTTCGTGCAGGAGAGTTTGATATGGTCTAATGGACCTAGCAAACCCTAACCCTCTACTGTGGTGGAGATACCGATAGCATCGAATTTTCCCGTATTGGGCGAATATCCATTAGTTTCATCGCTGGTATGGTACGGTGAATCATTTCTGATCTCACGGATCTTCTTGGGGCCTAATTACTGGGGCCGGTAGTGCTATCTGGGAACGCCTATCGTGTCTGCCCTACCTACCGCGCTGCCTCCACCGCCATACCGTAATACGGGAACTGGGCTAGAGCGATGCAATTCTTACTGGGGAGTATTTATCAAAATGTATAGTATTCTAGAATTAGGAGATATAATTTCACGGCCACAGGACCTAAGTAGACAGTACGATACGGTAGTCCGGTGCTGCTACTGTACCGATCCAAGTATTGCCGACAACAAAGGTCTAACCCCACTTAAGTGGGCCACCCGGAATCGCCATCATAAAATAGGCGGCCAACTGTTAGTAAACCGACCTAGCACCATTCTCCAAAATATCTGGCAGACTGAGCGCCATTAAGAGTTTACAATAGCGCCGCTTGCTTCGTACTGCTGACATCTCCGTACCTTCTACATGAGGGTTTGTCGCCCCTCCCGTATAATTTGAGACTCCTTGAATTCCTGCCCGTTCTCTGCTGTTGCATCCCTTGAGTTTGGCTGGACAAAGGTGGTGGAGGATAACGATGACCGGGTCATGGCCCCCTATCACTGATCGCGATTGTGGGTTTCGTAAATTTACTTCTGGAAGAAAGTCATGGACCTCTTTTCTCGCCTTTTTCTCACTTCCCTTACTTTTCGTTCCTCCCCCCTCGTTATGTCTAGCTATCTCTTGCTATCCGTAGTTACCCCTCTTCATTGGCTCACTTCTACGATATGTTAAATTTTTTATCCTACCGCGTTTCCTTTTTCGCTCTCCAAGAGCGGCCCTCCAATTTTCAATTTATTCTAAAATGACAGCACTTTCCCACGCCATCCCCCACTCCTTTGCATGATCCCGTTCTCATCGTGTATTGTGTGGTATCTGCCGGGTATGATTTTGGACTTTAGAAATTCGAATTGACCAAACCTGCCCCTCCCTATGATACTCGTAGATCGTCACAACACCAGCTCGGAAAACAACCCTTGGTCATCTATCCTGTGATAACCCTCAAACCCTAACCCTAAAACATCAGAAGATTATCTCGTCCCGTAATATTGTCGCATTGTGTCTCCCGCCGGCAACTTACGATATCCTCTCGGATCATGCCGCCATTGGGAATAGGGGGCCACTTGTTCATCCTAAATCTTTGACCTTGCAGAATTAAGCAACCGGAAATGAGAGCTTTCAGATCGGTGCGTCTTATAAGAGGTATTCCCCCATACCCCTGCGGAAAGCCAGCCTGCAGAGCTAGTTTCCGTGGTGAGTATTGTTGTTATGAGACTCTGGGTATGGGTGAGGAGGAGGATAAAAGTTTGAGGAAAGAATAGATTTGATAAGATAGATTGTAACTTGTGCTCGCCTACTTCTTCTATGGATGGGCAAGAGGGGGTTTATATAGAACAATCCATTTCCTATCCACTTACACAAGAGTTTTCAATGTCCGATAATCTTTTATCCGAGGTGTCTGGCTATTCTCGATCAGCTGTTCCGAGATCCTCCAACTTGACCAAGTATGACCGAAGACTCCCGTACACTCAGTATCATATCCTCTTGTTCCTTCTTTCCGTTGCACCACTGAAACCTACGATACAACAACTATAAATACTAGCAAGGAAATCTCTGCTAGTGTGAAACCTCTGTACCACTATCCAAGAGCGACCGATGCAGGATTGCATGAGCGCCGGTGGTTTACAACAAGTATTAGGAAAGGTATATCAAAGAATGAAGAAGTGCAGGGCTGGGAATCAAGGATGGAAAAAAGAGAATGCGAGCGGACACCCCCTTGATCTGGAAGAGATGATAGACTAAATAACTGGTCAGTTGATTTTATAGCCTAGTTCTGTGGATAATTATAGTTGTTAGAATCGAGCTACTTCTCATCCCGCCCATCCTGATAATGCCCGCAGCGAAACCAACAAAGGACGATGTGTTAGCTTCCTTGCAGAAAGATACAACACTATGCAGTCTTCTTCTTGGGTGTGTCCGGGTGGAGTTGGTGGATGTTTTCCCTCCTCGGTGGTCCGTTTGCATTCTAATGAGTAGCCGGTTGCGATTCTTACAACTTCCGGTCTCCTGGAGGGGCGAAAGGTGAAATATTCAGGGGTGGAGGGGAAACCCTTTATTTATCTTGAAATAACGTAGTGAAAAAAAAAGGCTATAAGTTACTAATTGGACTCCACCCTGGGGGGTTCGGAATTTCCCCCCGGATGCGGGGGAGACAAATGGAGCCAAGAATTGGGCTTCCAGACTTCGGGTGAGAGAGTTGAGGAGGAAATTTATGGCTAACCTTAGGAGGAAACTGCAAGCCAAGTGTCTGCTGTAAGGTTGAATTATTCTGGCTCCTACTCTATCTTTCTAATCGAATGACCGCGGTGTCCGGCACCGTCAGAATTGTGCGAAGTTAGGCTATCCAGGGTAGTGGTAGGGTCGGAGTACACCGGACCTTATTTTTGCAATACCATGACAGTGTTTTTTCATCGTTGTTTTGGAGGAGTTTGGGGACGAACATTGTTTGAATGCGATGTGCATGAGTAGTGTGGCTATTTACATGCAGTGCTCGTGCACGAGAGTTTGATATGGTCTAATGGACCCGGAAAACCCTAACCCTCCGCTATGGTGGAGACACCGATAGCATCGAATTTCCCCGCATTAAACGAATACCCATCAGTTTTATCACCGGTATGGTACGGTAAATCATTTCTGATCTCGCGGGTCTTCCCGAGGCCTAACCGCCGGGACTGGTAGTGCTATCTGGGAACGCCTATCGGGGATGCCCAACCTACCGCGCCGCCTCCACCCCCATACCGCAGTGCGAGAACTGCGCTAGAGCGATGCGGTTCTTACTGGGGAGTATTTATCAAAATATAGTATTCTGGAATTAGGCGATATAATTTCACAGCCACAGGACCTAAGTAGACAGTACGATACGGTAGTCCGGTGCTGCAACTGTAATCGGAAAGAAAGCGATAGCACAGTGCTGTGGTGGTGCGGTTATTACTCGTAAACCTTCTTCTCCAGAAGGAATCCGGGCGCTATCCGGCGTCCTAGTGTACGGCATAAGCAAATTTTGGCAGTCAAGAGCCTCGCTCCCACGGATACTTTTCTCCCACGATTTTCACTCCGTTCGGTCTCGATCGTGACTCGGTGATTGGAAGGTAGTCATGTAAGACTCGCTCTTGCTCTAGGATACCAGAATTTTACCCGGCCGTTTGTCCGCTCCTTCGGTTTTCGGAAAACATCCAAGCTGAAAGTTGCCTGGCAGCTCCTTGCACCGAATAGTGTGCTTGAAGGGCGCCACTACTGTACTCGTAGACCGTGTGAGCCCCCAGCCAGGCAAACACCCTCACCGCGGCGCGGTGCGGCTTGGCTCCCCGCTGCGGTGGGCCGTAGGTAGCCTTGCTGCCAAATATTGCCAAGACTGGCTGAGGGCTCACATGGTTTAGCTCGTAACTCTCCTGGTTCGGGCACTCGCCAGTTGGCGGGCAAATGGGGTTGCCATTGAGATGGGTATTTAAGCTACGAGTACTGTACGAGTACCTTCCCTTGGCAATTCGAAAATTTTGAACGAAAAGTGTGATTTATTGGTAAGGATAACTGTGTAAGGTCTGCTGATGGGTGAGCGAGTGTTTTTCTTCGCTATAATGTCATACAAAGAGGGGCGGGATAAAGGTCTCCAGCTTCGGCTATCTTAGTATTTGTGATCGGGAAATAGGGATCTGGTGTCACGATTGTTTTAAGTACAGTACTCGATTACGGGTACCGTATTTTGAGGGAACCCTGGAGCCGGAGCATCTGGTGAGGGGCTCGAGGGCCAAACTCAAAACCTAAAAACAATCTCAATTAAAAAATAACTTTATTAGATGAAAGAGAATTTTATTGGCTTCAAACTAATAGAGAGAAGATCATAAAATCTTTCACTTTCATAAAGTTATTGAAGCTTAAAAGGTGGCAGACCCTAGGTGGGGGAATTGAGGTGTCCAGAGTATTTTGGGGCCTGTTGATTGCCATAGATGTCCATAGGGGATACAGTTAATGTAAATTGGCCAATATACTAACCCGTATTAAAGAAAGTCTTAAAATAATAACATACTAGTACCTAACCAGGATGGCTGTGAGCATACTCCGACAACAGAGTTCCCCCATCATAATACCACACTTGCCGATTTCAAAATCACCCGTAGGATGCAGCCTTTGTAAGGCCTGAACTATACCCAGATACCTGGCTAGACACTGGTAATGGAAGAGGGGTTGTGAAAGCCACTGCTACTATATACAGGCCGCCGGAATACATTCATCTAGGTGTAATGCGATACCGGTCGCGTTCACGAGCATCGTTGGGTTACAAGTGCATAAAAATCGGCAAGGGGTGTGCGAATTTGAGAGAAGTCGGAACAGCCGAGCCTGACAACTAGCAGTAAATCGTGCTCAGGGCCTACATGTGGAAACTCTGCTACGGTTAATTGGACCAAGTGTTGTCCGGCTGCAGGTGCTGATTTATTTTTCATGTCTCAGCAAGGCTGAAGATGCGCTTTGCCACATTGTTCGCTCATTTCCGGGGCGGTGAATTTTCGAGAGCAGGACCCGTGATCTAAGTATTCAAGCTTCTGCGGTGCCACAACCCCGCCTTTGCCCCCAACTTAGCATACTCAAGTACCGGCTTGCCTCCGGAAACATTTCACCATCCTCGCCGCATCCGAGAGCGACATTCACTACTCAAAGCACCTTCTAGCATCATGGGCGATACAGTGTGCGGGAATTCTAGCGGAATCGGAAATACTAACTGTGGAAATGTGGACAATAGTTTCAACACTTGGATCAACTGCCCTACGGTATCGGTATTGGATAGGAAACGAGAGATAGTGGAGTGGTTATCTTCGCTAGAGTCATACGGAAACCAACAGGACAAAAGACACCAAGACGTCCGGCACAGAAGGGTCGATGGGATTGGAGAATGGCTTTTACAAACCGACCAATTTTTGAAGTGGCGAGATTGCGAGGATGGGTCGGTCGATGCGACTCTGTTGTGTAGTGGGGGACCGGGGGTAGGAAAGACCTATCTCAGGTAAGCTTTTGCGAATTCATGGAAGACGCATCACTAACAATATCAGCTCCGTGGTGATTGATAGGTTGTGCGATAGGAGCGAGGGAAGCAGTGTCTCTGTCGCCTATATTTATTGCAATTTCCAGACCCAAAAATCGCAAGCCACAGCACATATGCTGGGTAGTCTTCTCAAGCAGGTAGTTTGTGGGTTAGAAGTTATTCCTGAAGAGATTGGTTGTGCGTTTCAGAAGGCGAAGCAAGGTCAAGACGGTCGAGGTCTTACGGTTTCCGAATTTCTTAAGCTACTACGGGCTACCCTCAAGTCACGGAAACGGACTTTTGTATGCATTGATGCGCTAGACGAATGCGCGACGGAGTATCGGCCCGAATTGTTTCGCTCGCTACACTCCCTAGTTAGGAATTCTCCAAATATTCGACTATTTGTCACGGGAAGGCCTCATATTCAGGGTGAGCTCGAGGAACACTACAGCAGCGCTATACAGATCATACCATTCAAACCAGTGCAAGAGGATATCCGACGATTCCTAGAGATGCAACTGCGGGATGATCCATTCCGTGATGAGATGGATAGTGAGCTCAAGCGAGATATCATGAAAGTGATTCCGGAAACGATATCGGAGATGTATGTGGATGAGGCTCTGTTGATTGCCCGATCGTGAAGCACTGACGGTTGATAGATTTCTGCTGGTTTCACTGAATATCACGGCGATATTGAGCGAGACGACAATAAGAGCACGGAAAGAGAAACTCAAGAAGGTGACTAAAGGTCTGGGCATTCAAGATGCTTACACCAATACCATGAAACGGATAGAAGAGCAGGGTGAGAATCAATCAAAGCTGGCCATGCAAGCATTGATGTGGGTTTCTCGATCTGAGCGGCCGTTGCGAGTCGATGAGCTTTGCCATGCCTTGGCAGTGGAAATTGGGTCCATCAATCTTAACCCCGATAACATTCCGTCGATTCAAACCATATTAGGCTGCTGCCTAGGACTTATCGCTCTTGACCGAGAAGCTTCGACCGTGCGACTTATACACTTTACCTTACAAGAGTTTTTGCCCGAGCATTCAACACTCTTCTCAAGTCCTCATGGAATCATGGCAGAAGTGTGTTTGACCTATCTCAACCTCCAATCCATTCAGGACCTATCGCCTACCTCCTACAGAGATATGATAAAAACTCCATTTCTTGAATATGCATCGTATTACTGGGGTATCCATGCAGGCATGCAAACCACCAGTACGGGAAAATCACTTGCGGTCAAGCTTCTCGGTGGATACGATACCCACATTTCGGCTGGGTTACACCTTTCAAAGATATATTGTGAGAAGGGGTGGCTTTTGGGCGGGTATGGGGCTCCATACGCTCAGTTTACCGGACTGCACGCCATAGCATTCTTCGGAATTAGAGAGATCGCAACCTCGTTACTAAAGGTCAAAGATTGGGATAGAAATGGAAGGGATTTCGCAGGCCGTACGCCACTAATATGGGCCGCTATGAATGGAAGTATAGAGGTTGTGGAAATATTATTGGGTCTGAGAGGACTGAGCGCCAAGAAGAAAGACAATGAAGGACGGACAGCGCTCTCATGGGCCGCCGAGAATGGCCACCAGGGGATTGTACGATTACTCATGAAGAAAGATTCCACCACTTCCCGCATTGCGGATAGCAATGGCCGAACGCCACTTCTCTGGGCGGCGCGGAGTGGTAAAGAGGATATAATCAACCTTTTGATGAGAAAGGATGTGGATGTCGATCGGGTCGACAACCTCGGCCAGACACCTCTCATATGCGCGGCAGCAAATGGACATGAGGCGGTTGTATGGATTTTACTGCAGCAGAAGAGGGTCAACCCAGACACTACAGATAACGACGGTAGAACACCACTCTCGTGGGCCGCTGGAGGCGGATTTGAAGGCGCGGTGACACTGCTACTCGAGCGGAACGAGGTCAACCCCAATGCGACGGATATCCGATACGGCAGAACACCACTATCCTGGGCGGCCTGCAACGGGTATGGGGCAGTAATCGAATTACTGCTTGCCCATGGTGACATCAAACCGGAGCTGGCAGACAAAGGAGGCCGAACACCATACTCATGGGCAGCGCAGTACGGGCATCAAGGCATAATGAAAACGCTCGTAGATCAGGCGAATGTCAATACGATGACTAGGGACCTCAATGGCCGCACGCCAATTTCATGGGCTACCGAACATTGGCGCGGAGAATCCTGCATATCCCAGTTAGAGGAAGCCGGTTCCGGTCCCGATTTACCCGATGTCAATGGCCGAACACTTCTATCTTGGGCTGCTAGCGCCGGCAATATTCGATTTGTAAAATATCTACTGCAGCGCAAAGATGTCAACCCCGATTATAAGGACAAAAATGGGCGGACGCCACTCTCGTGGGCTGCCCAAGGTCGTGGCGAGGATGTGGTGTCCTTACTTCTGGAATGTGAGAATATCAATCCTAATAGTAGAGACAATGATGGCCGAACACCATTCTTGTGGGCTGTGGAAAAGGGAAACCAGGCAGTAGCACAGCTCCTATTGGAACGAACCGATCTTGACCCGAATTTGGACAACATAAGAGACCAAACACTACTCGGGTGGGCTTGCCAATGTAATTCAGAAGAGCTTGTCCAGCTTTTGCTGCAACGGACCGGCGTTGACCCCAATTTACCTCACAGAAACGGCCAAACAACGCTCGGGTGGGCTTGCCAACGCCCTTCTACGGATCTTGCGAGGCTTCTAGTAGAACGAACCGATGTTGACCCTAATTCCGTTGACGCTTCGGGCCGAACACCGCTTTCGTTGGCCGCAGAGATTGGGAATACGGGAGTAGTTCGGCTCCTCCTGGAAAGAGCCGACGTTGATCCAAATTTGGCCGACAATTTTAAACAGACGCCGCTCTCGTGGGCGGTGGGGAACGGGAGAACAGAAGCAGTTAAGCTCCTCCTGGAACGAGCTGATGTTGATCCCAATTTGGCCGACGATGGTGGGCGAACGTCCCTCTCGTGGGCTGCGGGAGAGGGGAGAACAGAAAGCAGTTAAGC